ACCAAAATGCAACTGCAAAATAATATCTTGAACTCTCCAAAGTTCAAGGATAGAGATTAGCCATCAATCTTCTCCTAAATATAAGGGATTAGCCATTAAGTCTCTTCACTAACGTGCGATAGTAAGATTTATCTTATTAAGATTTATCTTCACTAACGCAATGATCATCTAAATAACAAAGAAGAAATGATATTGAAAATAATTCCCTTCCTTTGGAGTGGCCAAACAAGAGATTTTTTTATTGAACATTTTATAACTCATTTTGAGTTCTATAAAATGTTTTCCTTGTTTATGGAGCTGCAACAAGAACAAGTACATTGAATAGAAGAATTAGTGCTAGAGATGGAAGCTAAAAATAAATCATTGATTTTGTTCTTCAAGCCAACAATTTTTGTATCCAAAACATTAATGATTGTCGGAAGAAGATTATGCACCAATTAATAGATCATTTAAAAGAGAAGTTTTTTTATCTTCTAAATCTCTAGTTTTAATAATTAAGATTTTGTTTAGGATAGCTTTTTTGTTGCTTTCTAGTACAAATTTTTTTAAAAGTTTCTTGAAATAAAGAATTTTTAGGCTACTTTAGAAAGCAGTAAAAAAATTGCTCCAAATGATGCTCAAATGTCCATGATTGCATGCGATTGAAGCACTAGAAGAATTAAAAAAAAACAAAAATTCTTATTATCTTCAAAACTAGCTACTTCATTTTTTCTAAAATAAGATCTTAGGGGAAAATTTTTAGATATATCAAACAAAAGCAACTCATTTTTAATAAAGATTTTGTTTGGGGCGGCTTTTTTGCTACTTGTTAAAGCAGTTTTTTAATACAAAATGTACAAATTTTAATTTTGTACTAAAAACCCGCTTTAAGAAGCAGTATGAAAGCCATCCCAAACGAAAGCTAAATTACTTAACACTTTTTTCTAGTAGAAGTATTTTTTTCCAATTTAGCATAAAAATATTTAACATATTATCTTAAGAGTTACAATGGATGCTTTGAGTTGGTCTAGGAAATTTCCTTCTTCTTCAATAAAAATGTAATCAAACATGGTAAAAAATAGGCCAAGTCTGAAGCCTTATCTTCAACTCTTTGGAAAAAAAACAGTACGACTCAAAGCATTTAGTCTGATTTTATTTGGTAATATATGTTAAACAGTGAGTTTGAAAAGTCTGGTGGTAATAAAACCTATAATAAGACTCTGCATTTCAAATTGAAGCAAGAAATAATAACTGCTCATCATGAATCCAAAGATCTTTCAGTCAAATTTCAATTGTAAAATTATTCCAACTTATTACAGATAACAGAAAAGAACAACCTGATTCAGCCTCAAAACAGCTTGAGTTTATTAATGACCACTAAAGAACTTCTTTCTATTTAAATCTAATTGAGCTAGAGCCAAAACAGCTTAAATTAATTTGATCAAGAGTCTGTTCAAAACTAGTTAGTCATCTGAGAGGTTTCTGTATAATTGCTGTATAAGTTCTGGTATATGCATACACCTTAACATGCTCGCTATGTTTATTAATACGGATACGTTACTGGAAATTACCTTGATTGGGCATAAATCTCGAGACATATTTAATTTGGAAACTTTTGAAATTAAAATTGGGACCATCCTAACTCTAATTCCAACAAACTTAAAATCAAATTGAACATTTCAAGGAGACAACCCAAAAGCACCACAATCGGTTCAATCCGAGCCCAAATGGGTCCAATCAAGGGACTATAACATATTTGAAAGTTTAGAAGCATTAATTAGATGATCGAATGATATCCAAATATGGCGTGCTTATAGTTGAATTGAGTGACTTGACAAAACCAATGGAACGAGCCCAAGATTGCTTAATTTTGGCATCATTTGGGTGCATAAACGCTTGACAAACATTCTATAATCGACGGGATTAACATGGGTTGTCCAATGGAGCAATCCGAATTTTTCCCAGATCTTCTTCATATTTACGGGACATGTCACTCCAAAAAATCTATAAATAGACATCTACTTCCCACATGAAGGGGGGCTTGGACACTGGGGATGGAGATTAAAAAAAGCTATGAAGCTTCGATGATCATAGAGGTCCACTCAAGCACCAAAGAAGGCGTACTTCCATCGATCGATCGAACCATCGCCTAGCCGCCGACAACTGCAGGACCACCGCCAGACCACTGTCCGTTCGCCAATCTCCACCAAACTTCCACTCGGCCATCCTCAGACCATGGCCCGTCCACTGATCTCCATTAAACCTCCGCCCGACCACCAATCTCAGCTAAACTTTTGCCTCACCATCTTCGGACAACCACTCGATGGCTGAGCATCACCGTACCTCAACCCGATTGTTATCTATACACCACTCCAACCATCATTGCATGTCGACTATGGTCCCTTTGACCACCACCGCCCGTAGAATACGGTCCCTTCTACGTACCTCTGCCTCTCACCATCTACGGTCACTCTAATCACCCTCACCTGTCAACTATGGTCACTCCGACCACCGTTTCCTGCAGACTACATTATATCCAACCACCATCATCCGCTGACTATGGTCTCTTCGAACACCGTTGCCCGTCGACTACGATCCCTCTGACCATCGTTGCCAGCAAACTACAGCTCCTATGATCTATGTCGCCCGTAGACAATGGTCCCTCCAACCTCTGTCGTCTGCCGACTATGGTCCCTTCTACCTTTATTTCCGCCGACTAAGGTCCCTCGGGCCACCGTCACCCGCCGACTATGGTTCTTCCGACCACCAACACCTGCCGACTAAGGTTCCTCTGACTACCATCTCCCGCAGACTAGGGTCCCCACGACCTCCCTCCCTCACCGACTAGGATCCCTCTGACCTCCATTGTGCACTAACTATAGTCCCTCTAACCAACGTCGCCCGCCGATACAATTTCTTCGATGATTATTGCTAGTCGGCTACAATTCCTCAGACCACCGTCTTTGGTAGCCTATGGCCCCTCTGCCACCATCGCTAGCAGGCTAAAGTCCCTCCAATCTCCGTCAGCCACCGACCATGGTCTCTTTGACCTCTGTCAGCCACCGACTAAGGTCCCTCCGAACTCGGTCGCCCCCCGATTATGGTCCTTTCGACCACAGTTGCCCACAATGCCAACTATAGTCTTTCTAACCTCTGTCTCCCCCAGACTATGGTCCCTCGGACCACCGTTACCTGCCGACTACAGTCCCCCGATCATCATTGCCTGTCGACTACGGTCCCTCCGACCATCATTGCCAGCCAACTACGATCCCTCAGCTCGACCACCGTCACTTGACTACTATCCTAATGACCAAACAAATAAACCAACATGCTCTTGAAAATAACTTTCTTGTCATTGGATTATTCCTACTCCAACCATGTAATTTGCTCGTTATGACGTATATTTGCTACATTGGGCTAAGGCATTTCCACAAGGAAGAGCCTCATTTGTAATCAACTACAAACTCTAGTGGATTCTTTTCAACTGGGCAAGACTGTTATTTTTCCCCTTCTCAAGATTTTCAATGTAAAAATTCTGGCGTCTCTTATGAATGTTGGATCTTTGTTCAAAGTTAAAACGTTAAGCTCGTTATCTCTTTTCCGCCACGAATGTTCTAGGATGTAACAAATACACATCATTCAAGTAAATTAACATATAAAGTTCATATGTACACATTAATCTCTCTCTCTCTCTCTCTCTCTCTCTCTCTCTCTCTCTCTCTCTCTCTCAGTATGATTAGGAGTTGGCTTGAATTTTAAATAATCTCAGAACTCAGCATAATTTATGGGGTTCTTTCTCTCGGTGCAATTTGAGGCCAACAGAAACCAAAATTTATCTGAACTGATTTTCAACTTTAAAGCTGAACTTGCAGCCCTTCGTAGAAGAATTATTTGCTTATTGTGGTAAATCCTCCCAGTGAGGACTATGTACTCAAATTGGATTATTAAAGCAACATTAATAGTACTCATATATTGTTAATGTCCAGTCAAATCTTCTTCTATGCAGTGCTTCTTTCTTAGGCTATCAACTTCATCATTCATGAATCTAGACCAGAAATGGTCTACTTCTTCCTATTTAATTTTACATAAAATATTTTTGATTTGGATAAGCATATCGAGCTTAAAAAAAAATTGGATTGAATATTGAAGCTTTGATGACTTCATCAAGATGCCTATGCTCCACCTTCAATCTTATTAATTTTTCTTCTATTTTGTTGATAGATTTAGCATAGTGAGATCATTGTATTTATCTGTAAAACAACAATCATTGTCTTACCTCTCTGTCTTCAGGATTTATGGTTTATCTCAATATCTACAGCTTATAAGAATCAAAATGACATCATGAAAAAATTTATTCAGATCAATCTCAACTTTTAGATCTCATAAATAAAATTAAACTTTCGTTTGGGACGGCTTTTTTTTTGCTTCTTAAAACAGTTTTTTAGCTTAAAATTTAAATTTTTTATATTAAAAACTGACTTACGAAGCAGTAAGAAAGCTCTTCCAAACGAAACCTAAAGCTATCAACCAGCTTAGATTAGAGACAGCTTTCATTTATTTTTGAGAGCATCTATACCTATCATTATCATGAAGTATAAACTGCTGAAAGATTCTCTCATTAGATTATGGCCGTTGACTTTCACATCAAATAAAGTTAAGTCTTTATCTATCTTTAGCTTTTGCTTTGAAGTTAGAGCATCGCATGCATAGCTATCAATATTTCATTATCAAATGAAGTAGAATATGACATGAAATTATAACTAAGGCCCTCCATAAGTTTTAAATGTTCTCTTTGATTGCAAAAAAATATCTTTCATATAGTCTTTTGGTTCTATGCTCTTCTTTTATTAGTAGTTTAATAACATTTAAAAAGCAATCCAAATTTCTTTTATTAGTAGATTAATAACATTTTAAATTTATTAAAAAAAAGCTTGAGAAATTTTTTGAAGCTCTGAAACAAGTTGCAGCTCAGCTCAAACTCAACTGAGCTAGACATTTAAATACTCCAATAGATTAGCTCATAGGTTAGTTTCATCTCAAATAGCAATACTTAGCTTTGTTCACTCAAGAAAAATATGATCCCTAAGATTAAACAAGCATATTTATATTGAAAATGATCATAAAAAAAGGCTAATCATGTCATGTTCAAACTCAAACACTGCATGAGCCAAGGTGGCTGATTCATACTATTCTGCCTCACTTGTTCTTCAACATCAAAAGAACTCTTCCTCTCACTTTGAAAGCTGTTCACCTGAAACAATCCCCATTCTTTCCCTTTTAATTTCACACCACTTGAATCAGCTGAAGACCATGAGAAACTTACTCCAGAATCTGAAGTGAAAGATGTTTCTTCTTTCTTCCTCCTCCTGCTTCCAGTAGCCAGAGTCAGCTCAAGTTCTCCCTCTTCTTCAGCTTTTGGAATCCCATCTTTGCTTTCTTTTCCAATATATTCTTCTGCATTTAGTTCAAGATCAAGTGTTTGATTCAGTCTTCTCTTTTCTGTGCAGTTCTTGAATGGTTTACTTTCTGAATTGAATGAAGCCTGCTGCTTCTTCAGTTCTGCCTTCATATCATTCATCAAAACCTTCTGAATTCGATAAAGTCGATGTAATTCATGGACCTGTATGAGTTATAGAAAGCGTATTTTGGAATTTTTAGGCTTTTGAGAAAATATATTTGAAGAAAATGTTATTAAATTTAGCATACCTGGTGTTTGAAGGTCTCTTCATGCTTTAACATGGCCATTTTCATGTATTCTCTGTCATATTGTTTCAGAAACTTCCCCATTGAACTTTGTTCTTTTTATCAACTCCTTGACTTCAGAACATGGCCTTATTCTGTTTATCAATTCCTTGATTCTTCCATTTGATTGAATAAAGATAAAACACCTGCATTTGTTTCAAGTTAGGTACAATTATTGATGAATTTTTAGTGTTCATTGCTATAAATTGGCTATCAATATAGATTATTGCAGTGCAAAATTCATCTAATAAGATGGAAGTCTATGCAAAATATACCCTTGGTACAATCACTGATAAAAGGGCTTAATCTAGTGCATGAAGATGCTGATAATACAGGGTTTAAAGAGGCTATTTTTGTGACTAGAATTCATAACTTCAGGTCATATTGGAGGCAACTTGAGCACTATTATAGGCTCGCTCCCAGATGTTATTGCAGGCAAAAGGGCTTAATTCAGTGCAGGAAGCTCCTGACAATAGAGGTATGAAGTAGGATGAAATTATTCTGTGCGGATGCCGAATGCCATCTAGAACCCAATGAAAATGCATCACATCACCTCCTACTCGATACCGCAGCTCGGTACCGAGCTTAGTACTGGATGACGTGACTGCATCTGATTTGTCTCTGGATGATAAGTTGTGTTCGGTGTTCGCACAGAATAATCTCTCCTGACTTAGAGACTATTTTTATGACCCAAATTCATGACTTTCAGATCATATTAGAGACAACTTGAGCACCAAAACTAGCTCTCAGATATGATCATTTCTCATATTTGATTTGCACTGTCTCTAAACTTCTAACCAGATGAAGGAAAGAGAAATTTTTTTAAGGGAATGAAATGACTTCGTGTGGAAGTATCAGTTCACCCTGTGGTTCTCTAGGATTAAAAGTTCTATGACTTATGATTGAAGGAATCAGATCAAGGAAAACACCAAAGCCTTAAGAATTTTTATATGACTTGAAATTAGCCAAGCAAAGGGATCGATCGGACAGTCAGCTCACATGAACAAATAAGGCAAAAAACTTTCCTGGTTCTGGTATTTGAGATCAAGGGAAATGCAACTAACAACCCTGCAAGAAAAGATTTGTTGCAGAAATTTAAGAGACAAGATAAAGGTTCCAAACCAGTTGTTTGTTAGCTTGAAACTCTAATAAAGCTCATATAAACCACACATAAGCCCCAAAAACCAAAGAAAAGCATAATTCTTTTCAAGCAATACGACTGAAATTAGAAAGAGAAAGAGAGAACTTAATCTACTAAAACACCAACTCTCACCTTTAAAACTCCATAATTCCTCTTCTAGCTCAAATCCCTTTATTTGGCAAGAGAGAGAAGAGAGAAGAGAGAAGAGAAGACCAGAGTTGTATCCTTACATGGAAATTTGATCCCCTTCTCAAGCTCAAGTCTTTGGACAAAAACAAGAGCCAACCTTCCTTATTCTCTCAATCTAAAGAGGCAAAGGAGGAGAGGATTTAAGATTCTCCTCATAGGGGTCTCTATTTCATTAGAAAAATATTTGAGTGGGCTCCTCAGCCATATCAAACAAATCTCAGTCCCTTAGCAATTGCAGAGCTTAGGCAAAGGCTGGAAGGGCAAAGATGACAATGGAGAGTGACAGCCAAGGACAGTGTTAAAATAAGGGGAGCCACTTATTCTATGAATTCAGAAAAAAAAAATTAGAGTAATACTACAAAAGAATCATCAAGGAGACAGCTAAACCTGCCATGGTACATCACATGTGCCCTGAAATTCTTATGATCATTATAAGTTGGTTCAGCCATATATTATTGTCTTATGTCCAAAATAGCTTTTAAATCACACACTAAGTTTGTCATATACTTCATTAAAATAATTATAATAGGATTGTAAATCTAGATGAGAGAGAGAGAGAGAGAGAGAGAGAGAGAAAGAGAGAGAGAGAGAGGGGATGTTGATGCACAAAAATGAATGTGAGAATTTAGATGGGACATGAATAAGAGATGTGACACATCATTGATAAAGATCGAGCATGATGTTTTATTATTCAAAAACTCTACTTTTGATTTATACATTATAATTATGACAAATATGTGGTCATAACTCACTATCTCATCTCATTTATTCATTTTCTTATATTCTAGAAAATAAAAAGAAAAAAATTGTTGAAATATTTATCTTTATGAGACGATATATGTGTTCTTATATAAATTAGTATATTTACGAGCAGAGGCGTATAGAGCATCATCTCTTCTTGTGGATGATATAAAAGTGCAGTCCGATATGTATAGCTTGGATCAATATTTCATATGGTATATCAATACTTAATTCAAGCATATAGAAGTAAAAAAGAAAATCAATGTCCAACAAAACTTAAGAAATTTACGTAGATTCACATAATTGATGGCTGCATCTGCGTTGATGTTGCTATAGGTTTTAGTATGGCGAAAATACAATCCCGATCTCTCCTTTACAATAGAAGATGAAACTTTATTCTCTTCATAAAGAAAAAAATTATGGCAGCTAAAAAAGATAAAAAAATTTCTCAAAACTCTTAATGAAATAATTATAGATGTTAGATATCTTTTAAGGGATTGCCTTTAAATTGCTTTGTAGGGGGTTCTCTGCCCCCCTTCAACCCTTCTGACATCATTATCATGAAGGTTGATTCACATACGTCGCACATTTCATCCGTAGGACAAAATAATAGACTTCATAAATTAACATTAACAATCTCCCATGACTCTTAGGCTTAGTTTGTGACAGCTTTTTTACTATGTAATAAAACTGGTTTTTAGTATAAAAAATTCTTATTTTAATAAAAAAAATTTAATTCAAGAAAATTTTGTACTAAAAAGCCGCTTTAAAAAGCAACAAAGAAGTTGTCCCAAACAAAATCTTAGTTTATTTTATCATAATTAAGCAAAAACCAAAGAGCACATTATGACCTTTACTTACTAGCTTAAGTTCCTCAATATTTCATTTGTTTAAAGATTATGAGTATTTCATTAAGGCTTCATTTATGTTAGGTTTTTTGCTGCTTTTTAAAATAATTTTCAGTTAAAAAATATCTTTAATTAGAAATTTTTGTGCTAAAAAGCGGCTTATAAAGTAGTAAGAAAGCCGTCAGAAACAAACCTTAATCACACTTCAAAGAAATGATGTGAAAACACCAACCTAATCACGTTTATGCTTAAAATTTGAAGTTAAACATAAATTAGACCACTAATCTACAGCAATAATCCTCACTTGAGAAGTTACAGAACAGAGAGATTATTAGGTGCAGAGTGCGGACGGGGAGAACCGTCCGTATAAGTATTGGGTACCTAGCGGTATCCGCACTAGATACTGTTGAGTACCTTTAAATACTCAATACTTATGCGGATAGTGCGCACTCCACACCTAATAATTTTTCTACGGAACAAGTCTTGTTCAAGTTTTTAACTCGGAATGCTGCTGAATCTTTTTTTTTTTACCAGTGTTGTAATTATTGCTTTGGATATGTGGAAGTGGGCTCCAGTAGCATGACATAGTACAATGTATTATTCTGTTAAGAGTTTTGAATAATTAAAACTAGAAGATTCCATCACCTTTGAAAAAGAAAAAAAAAATCTGTGGCAGCCCATCATCTTTGAAAAAAATAAATAAAAGATCCAATTTAATGAAGATTATAAGAGAATATTTTAAAAAAAATTATTTCATTCATAATCATATGGAAGAATAAATTATTTTTATTAGCAAAAAATATGTATAATATATTTTTTTCTTTTGTCTTAAATATTTTTCATTTTGTCTCACTAAATCCCCCTCCCCCATTTTTACTCTATGTTTTTTTTCTTATTTCACTTTTGATTATTAAAATAAAAGTTTCATACTAAAATAGAAAAAATATCTTTACAAAGAAAAATATTATATACATATATATAGTGACAAAAAAGAAACTATCATTGCGGTTTAAAAATAAAAGAGTAAGAAAATTATGTCAAATAAAACCTTAATCTCCCATTACTCCGCTTCATTGATCTAGTTAGTCATCCGTAAAAAAAAATTCAACACTAGAGGTGTCAATATTTGACATGACCCGAAAATTTGATCTGAAAATTTTGGGTTATGTTCAATCCATTTCGTAAATGGGTCGAGTTCGGGTTCCAGAATTCGACATGTTTGAAAAAAAGGGTCCAGTTCGAGTTGACCTGGAAACCCGACGGGTTAACTCAATATTTGACATGACCCAAAAATAAAAGAGTAAGAAAATTTTCAGATCAAATTTTCGGGTTATGGTCAATCCATTTCGTAAATGGGTCGAGTTCGGGTTCCAGAATTCGACATGTTTGAAAAAAAGGGTCCAGTTTGAGTTGACCTGGAAACCCGACGGGTTAACTCGAAAACCTGTTTAAAACGAGTTGCATGCGTGTCGTGTCCGAGCTGCTCACGCGTCATTCGATTGCCTGCCATCCTACCTGTCGCAAAGACTGCTCGTCGTCCCTCCCGCGAGTCACGTCGACTGCCCGCTGGCCTCGCTATCTGCGCATTGCATTGATTGCCCGACTATCCAGCCGTTGACGAGAGCCCTACCGTCTGCCTTCCCGCCGTTGCAGTCCATCCGTATTTGATCAGGTCAACCTGGTAACCCAATGGGTTGGGTCCGTGTCTACACTTCCGACCCATATATATAACCGGGTTGGGTTAGAGTCAGCCCGTTTGAGTCCGATCAGTTCCAGATTCGATCAGAACCCAATCCGAAATCCTTTTTTGACACCCCTACTCAACACCTCCCAATTTACATCTTCATGATGCCTACCACTTTCTCACAAGTCAAAAAAACACGCTGCTATCAATATCGATGAGCTCATTGGCTCTAAAATAATTCTCCCTACCAAAAAATATCTAATATGTATAAAAAATAAAAAGAAATTTAATATCAACTTTATTTAAAAATTCTAAGAAAATTGAGCTCCACACATATGTTAACTAATCAGATTTGAACTAAAATAAACTGTACAGTTCTGTTCATTTATCTTTGTAAACTTCGGAAGAAAACTGTTGGATTGTTGCATTCTATGGTGACGCAGAGAGATGTGACAGCATCTACCACTTAATTATTTGTATGAGACCACATCTACTAACTTTTATGATCAGGGCTAGATACATGGGACAGAATGCTGGGCTAATTATTTTCCTGCTACTTGACAAAAAAAGTCATCATAGCACAATTTTGATTCAGAAAATTGGAATTGGCAATAAATGCTTTTAGGAAAATCATTGTTGCAACTCATTATACAATTTTAGATATCTATATTTCAATATTTACTGATGATTTTTCCGCCGGTCCTTTGACCGTCGGAATTACCGGTGGTCAAATTATCGGCAACAATCGATGGCAATAGGGTGAGTGTCGGAATTTTCGAAAATAAACAATTTCCGCCGGAAATTGTCGTTCGAACTGGACGATTTTTCTGCAATGGATATACTAAGAAAGGTTATAGTATTTTATAAAGTTGATTGTAAAGTTATTATAGAGAAAATAATTTTATTATTATTATTACATAAAGTAGTTTTTCACTATAGAAATTTATTAAAGCAATAAAAAAAATATTTTCCAAGCAAAATTATTATTGTGTCTAAATACAAAGCAACTAAAAAGCTGTCATAAATAGGCCCATCAATTATCTTTGTTTTATGTTTGAATTTGACTAATTAATCAAATTTAAGTTAGAAATTGAGCTCAATTTAGTTCAAGTTGATTCATGTATTATAAAAAGAGATAATGTATTTTTTATTAAAGCATTTATTGTGATAAAATGATAAAAAATAATTTTATATTTAAACTTATGAATTTTAACTATATTTTCTATTAGTAATTTTTAAATCAATAAACTCACGACCTAATAAGTCGAACGGGGGCTTACTCAAATTTATCTCGTTAGCTCATCAGACGTACCATAAAAAAGTACCCCTCAAACTTAAGATAAAAATTCTATAAGATGGTGGTGAGACCTGCAATGTTTTATGGTACAGAATATTGGTCATTAAAAGAGAAGCATACTTAAATTATGCGTCGCGGAGATGAGAATGCCCAAGTGGATGAGTAGATTTACTCATTCACCTTTGGAGACAGCAGGGGAAATGAGCATATATGTGAAAAGGTTAAAATAGCTCCAGTAGAAGATAAGATAAGATTAGAGAGAGTCGTCTTATAATTTTGATTTATTTAAATAACACACAAAATTTTATTTTTACTTATATATATAGCGCTTTTAAATAAGTATTTTTTAATTGTAGATCTGTAAATACATGAAAAGCATGTATTAAATATATAATTTTTTTAAAAAATTACATTTATTTATTTATTTATTATTATCAAAACTTATGTAGACCAATGAGAAAAGCATAAACCACGCATATATGCTTATTTTAATTGGTTCATAAAAGATATGGCCACAATAAATAAGAAATATTCGTAATTGCTAAATATATATTCCCCAAAAAAAAATGAAATATATATTTTAAGTGTAGTATTATTTTATAAATAATATATTTTAACCACTAAGCCAGTCTCTGCGGTTC